AGAATAGCTTATAGTTCTCAGCAATCCCTGAACAAGTGCCTTATCAGTTTAGAAATTGTCATTATATTTTCTTGAATTGAGCATGGTCCGGTAGAACTGTGATGGTGGGAATTTGTGCCATCCACCAGCAACAAATGGCTCTTGAGCACTTGAAATGTGGCTAGTGCAACTGAGGAACTAAATTTTAATTTATTTAATTTTAATTAAAATAACCTCATATAGCTAGTGTCTGCCATATTAAAAGTTAAGCTCTAGATCATATATTGATGATTCTCTAGCACACTGAGAATTGATATATTTGAAAATCCACAGTTGTAGTTTCCATTGGTAAGACTGTGAAAATACCTAGTTAATGCAGATAAATTCCCATTGCCGTATAAGGAACTTAACAGTTATGTCCACATTGTTTAAATGGAGAGGAATTTGGCAATATAGCTAGTGATCAAACTCAAAACTAGTTAAAGTTCAGAGTAAATAAGAAATTCCATGGAATGTCAAGCTTTGCAATCTTTTACCTGGATTGCTGTGTTCATCTCGTAACTGATCCTTTTGCATTTACTCTTGTTCCTATCTAATTCATTTTCCATATTTTAATACTTTAACCTAAGCTGTCATTTCAGAGTACAAATTTGATCACGTAACCCCACCATACTTTAACACTTCTTTGGTTCTCCACTCTCTGAGGAAAAAGATTAAAATCAACAATGTGATCTATAATGGTGGGCTTCATTTTATACTGTTTTCTCTCTTACTCTGTACATAAGCCACATTAACTTTCAGTCCATTAAACATTCTATTCAAATGATTCTTATTAAGATCACCCAGGATTTCCGTCCTGCTAAATCTAAACATCTTTCTTTGATTTCCTAGTAACACTCAACACAGGTGACCATTCGCTCCTTGCAACCTTTCTTCTGATTTGTGCAGTATTAGTTTTTCTCCTGTACTTGAATTGCTTGAGTTCTTTCTTAACAACCCCCCCCATTCCCTACAGTTTCCCTCAGTGATCTCTTCTCATCTCATGGCTTTTAATAATATCATTGTGTTAATATAACTCTAGCCTGGTTCAGTGTCAGACTGGTATTTTCAACTTTCTCTTCAACTTGTCTATTCAGATGTTTAATAAGCATCTTAAACTTAACACGTCCAAAACAGAACCTTTTTAAAAAAAAGAGACAAAAACTTTTTTGTGTGCAAAATTTCAGTCCTATCCAAAAGGAGAGTTGCTACCATGAATCACTATGTACCCAACCCTTAGCTTCAACAATCAATTCATGGCCACTCTTGTTTCATTTATATTCTACCACTCACCCCATTCTATCCAGATTATTTTGCAGCACACCCCAGAAACCTTATTTTTTTTCTGTAAATATTTCAGTCTGTATCTTTAAAAGATGGTAATTTTAAAACACAATACCAGTATCACATACAATTAACAATAATCCTAAATATCATCAGATATGCTATACGTCATAACAGAACCTTGATCTCATTCTTTCCAAATCTTTTCCTCCCCCGGTCTCTGCCCAACATCAGTTAATGGCACTACCATCCATTCAGTTGCTCAGGCCTCAAAGCTAACAGTCATCTTGTTTTCTTTTCTCATTACCCACCACCAGTTCATCAGCAAGTCCTATCCACTCTGTTTTCAAAATATATCCAGAATCCAGCTTCCTCTCCCTAACCCTACTGCTACCTCTCAAACTATCCTTATCTCTTGCCTAGACCACCGCAGTAGTCTGCTATATGGTCACCCTGTTTCCATTCTCCTTTCTATAATCCATTCTCCACACAGAGGCGAAGTTATCTTCTTCTTCTTCTGTTTGGTTTTTTTTTTTTTTTTTTTTTTTTTTGACACAGCACAAGCAGGTAGAGTAGCTGGTAGAGGGAGAGGGAGAAGCAGGCCCCCCGCTGAGCAAGGAGCCAGATGTGGGGCTCCATCCCAGGACCCTGGGAACACGACCCGAGCCGAAGGCAGTCACTTAACCAACTGAGCCACCCAGGCGCCCCAGGCGAAGTTATGTTTTAAAAAAATTAATCATGTTATAGCATTCCCTTGCCTAAAACCCTGTTTCCTTTAGAACAGAATCCTTCATTGTTTCCCTGGTCTCTTGTCCCTCATTTTCTAGTCTCTCTGACCTCACCTAACACCACTTTCTCCCATATTCACTCCCAGCCCACTTGCTTTGTTTTTAGTTCTTCATATACCCCGAAGTTTGTTCTTGCCTCATCATTTTTGACTTACTTCCCCAGGTGTTCTTTTAGTTGGCTCATTCGTATCATTTAGTTCTCAGCTCAAATGCTGCATCCTCAGAGAGGCCGTTCTTGATCTCCCTATCTAAAGTGCTAGCCTCTTAGCCCTACTGTCATTCTTTATCCCATTACCTGTTTGTTTTCTTTTTCATAGTATTCAGTACGAAAATTATCTTGTTTATTGAGGTACTTGCTTATTGTCTGTCTCCCGCTATGAGAATTTTGCTCCCAGAGAGCAAGGACCTTTTCTGTTTTATTCACCACTGTAGCCCTGGTGTTCAGAATGGTGCCTGACACATACTAGACATTACCAAATGTTTATTGAATGAAGAGTGAGTTAGTGAATGAATTGTGCTATATTCTAAGTGCTGCATATGTTGAAAGAAGAAAGATTGCCGAGGACTCTCAGCCAGGGAAAGCTTTATCTAAAAGGTGTAACTTAAACCTCAGTCTCAGAAGATCATTTCAGTTTAGATAGGGGAAAAGAGATTTTTATTTTTTTTTATTTTTAAATTTTATTTATTTATTTGAGAGAGAGAATGAGAGAGAGAGAGTACATGAGAGGGGGGGAAGGTCAGAGGGAGAAGCAGACTCCCTGCCGAGCAGGGACCCGATGCGGGACTCGATCCTGGGACTCCAGGATCATGACCTGAGCCGAAGGCAGTCGCTTAACCAACTGAGCCACCCAGGCGCCCGGGGAAAAGAGATTTTTAAAGGAGGCTGCTGCTGCTTCTTCATATTCTTCTTTTTGAATAGTCAAGGTGCAGGTGCTAAAGTTGGCAAGGAAGGTCCCTATCTGCTATTATTTCTTACCTGGTTTTTGACACTAAATGGTGCTGCCACCATTTGTTTGGAATTTGCCACTCATATATACACATATATCCTCCATTGTACAAAAAACATTTGAAGTGGTGGTTGCTTAGTGAATATGTTGAGATTATCCCTTAAGAATTCCAGTTTATAGAGAATAATGCTATTATTAACAAAAATAGATACAGAAAGAGGGGGAAAGATAGTGCAGTTGGTTTTAGACCTGACATTTGCCTGTGTTTTATTAGTCTAAATTATGAGCCTTCTATAAGCTGTTTAACTTCTAGATTGAGATCGAAAAAAGGCCATTAAATTACTAATTAAAGATGAATAGACTGATAGGAACAGAATCTAAACTGCAGATTTAGACCAGATGGCTTAAGTGGTTTTTGTAATTGGAAACACCTAAATATTCATTATTGGGGAAGTGGTCTTACAGGTTGTGATACCTCCACAGGATTCTGCCAACTATTAAAAATGTCTTCAAGGCACTTTTATAACAAGGGCAAAATGCTCGTGGTATAATGTCATAAAGCAGGACTTTAGAGTGTTACAAAGGACCTCAAGTTTATAGAAATATTCATAGATATGTACAGAAAAAACTAAATGTACATCTTATAATATTAATAATGGTTAACTGTGGATGATTTTTATTTGTAAGTTTTACTAATTTTCCTAAAATGACTATGTAATACTTTAATCATAATAAAAGTTTTTATTTTAACAAATGAATGAAGAAACAAATGAAGACGTTGGTTTCACTCATGGATTTCACTTTGGCAAAGGAAAGGAATGGGTTGGTATGTTGAAGGAGGCGAGGCAGAGGATCAAGCAAAGTTGCTTTTAACACACTTTAATATTGACTGTTAACTTGTTGGGGGTTTTTAATACGTATATTTCTAGCATTATATACTTCAGTTTTCCTGATGATTTTTCAGGCATTATGTTTTGCTGGGCTAGGGTGCAGAAAGGAGAGTTTAAGAAACAAAAAGAAAAGAAAAGGCTATATTCCTAGAAACTGGTTCTAGAGTTTGTGTTTTCTGGAGATGGAGTGTAACTGTTGCCCACCCTTTCTCTAGTGACAAGTGAAAAGAAGTACCCTAATCAAAATGTAGAGAGAAGGGACTATCCTGGGTAGGTATACTTACCAGAGTCTTTCTAAGTCCTCTGCCGTTTTGGTATTATTTTTCTTTTGGTTGGTTTTTTGAGAGTTGGAGCCTTTTCAGGAGGAAGAGATCCTTGGGAAATGTGCGTAGGGTCGCTAAGAAAAGGTAAAACTAATTTGTTATAAGAACAAAAAAGCCATGAAGAGATTTGATTCCTTCTCAAGCAGCATGCTTTGTTTTACTTTTTTTTGTTACAGAAATAAGACACAATCATAGTAAAAAACTAAAAAAACAAAAAGACTAAAAGATTATAGGTTAATTTCTTACAAGTGAACTACTACTGAGTTTTCTTGTATATCTTTACAGAATTTTTCTGTCTAGCACTACATTTTAGAATGACAGGCAAAGGGAATAGTGCAAGCAGTTATGCTGGACTGTTTGGGACAATCTGAGTAATTGAGTTCAGGAGAACCCTTTATTGGCTGTATGCTGGGGATGGAATGAGCACACACACAGTTTGCTAAGTGCTGTGTCAGCAGGTGGGGTTTAAAAGTGAATAAAACAATCTTGACCCTTGAGATGGTCACATTTGAGCCAAGAAACAGAGTCGGTTGGTGCCCATTCTTAGAATTACTATTACATAACCTACCTATTCTTGTAATATTTTCCTGTGGTTGCACTAAATTTAGCATGGTTTCTCTACTTCTAACTTACAAAGTTGTAAAATATCCAAGAGCTTTATGGGTTTTTTTGTTTGTTTGTTTAAATGTTTCTTTTTTATCACTTAACTTTCCATTCAGGTTATTATTCTTTTATTTTAAACATATATAGGAATTACTCAAGGTGATGAGGACGATTGATGACAGAATAGTACATGAATTAAACACTACGGTTCCAACAGCTTCCTTTGCAGGGAAAATTGATGCAAGCCAAACCTGTAAACAACTTTATGAGTCTGTAAGTGTAATCTTTTGAGTCTTTTGTGCTTCCTTTATGCCTTTCTTTGCAGGCAAAATAAAAAACCAATTGACATATAATTAAACTGGATAAAAGTATGACATCTTCGTGTTTTCTTGCCTACATCTGAGGGTGTGTACAAGTTTTGATCTGGTTGCTACAAACTAAAGAAAATGTGTGATCCTATGCACAAGTCTATGAAGAGATCATTCTAAGGAATGAGAGCAGTTTTTTTAGCCCCTTCATGGGTAGCCTTTAACTTAAGGAAACCTTATGCACGAGCGAATGAAGGAGAGAGTGAAACAGTCGAGTAAAACAGTGAAACAAGAGCAAGGGCTTTGAATGAATCAATCCTAAGAAGCCAGACACCTAATACAATGAAGAATTAAAACGCTTCATGCTTTCTATATCTTTTTTCTTTCCTCAGTCATCAGGAAGGGGAATAGACTTGGCAGTTGGGCGAGAAGCCACAGATAAATTGTCCTTTCCTGAGGCTTTGGTTTCTCAAGTACATATTTTTTCATTGCCTCTTAAAGATTCCCTTTATTGTCTCTATAAATTCCAAAGGCAAAAGGAAATAGTAATAATGTAGCTAAGTATTTTTTTATAATTTACTTACATCTTTTCATTAACTTGGAAGCTAATGTTCAAATGGCATTTGCTTCTTTAGCACAAGTAATACTTAAAACCTAGATTTTATTTCTCAGTTATGAAAAAAAGTCAGTTTTAGATAGCTTATTCATATCAATTAAATTCAAAGCAATAATTGCTGATAATTTTTATTCTGCTTTTATATGAAAGTATGTAATTTCATTGAGTGGTCAGGTAATTCCTCTGGCTTGAAAATTCCAAGGTTTGTGGGCTTTAATGAGTAGAATCCAGTACTGGAAGTAGGGAGTCAGAGTCCCAAGCCCTAATTTATTTTGAGGTTGTTTGACAGTTCACTTAATTTCTTCGGGTAGCTCTGATCTGAAGAACTAGAAATTTATGATCTCGCTACCCATATAATCTCTATAATCTATTCAGTTGTTTCCTTTTACAATCTTTTTATTAACTTGAAGATTTATAGTGTAGGGATTAACAACATGGATTCCATATCTAGATTAAATCCTACCTCTGCTACTTCCTAGCTGATAACCTTGAACATGTTACGTAACTTTTTGCCTCAGCTTCCTTATTTGTAAAACAATATCATAATAGTACCTAGTTCATAGGGTTGTTAAAGGCCTGAGGTAATATGAGGTGCTTACTGTACTAAATGTCTTACATGTAAATGTTTGCTGCTATGTTACTGTTGTTGTTATCTCTTATCCCTTTGTTGAACCAGAATAATCTTGAGTACTAGAACCTTTTGTTTTGCTTATTTAGGATCTTTCTGTTTTGGATATTCTTATGTATGTGTTTGGGTTTTTCTCTGTCTGTACCCTAAATGGCTCCAGCGACATGACCATCAGAGAAAGGATGGTTTATCTAGCAGTTTTTTTGCCAGTGATCGAGCCTGCAGCAGAGTGCCCATGCTAAGAAGTCCCACTGAGTTCCCTTAAATATTGTCTCAGTTAAGAGTGGAACTCTGTGAAACATCCAGGTTGCTTAAGGTTACCTTGACTTCCTTTCGCCCCAGCCCTTCCTTCTATAGCTGAGGAAGGAATGTTTGTACTCTCTAATGATAATACTTCTTCATAGCAGATGATTAGCCAAGTTATTATGAAGCACTAATTGTAGAAATTCCACATCTTAAAAGTATACTTGTAATAAAAATAATTTCAGTGAGATACCCTTATTAGAGCGTATTCCCTTGAATCTATGAAGTTTTTTAGCTGTACATTGTTTATTGTTTATTCTCAAGATAGACATAAAAATCAATGCTGAACCTTAAAAAGTCTGAACTTGGAATAGTACTTTACAAATGCAAAACTATTATTGGTGTCACAGTGATTGATTTAGGGTAATTCTTAAAGGTATCTCTTTAATATAATGAATTTTTGGAATATATGTTTAAATGATATGTTTCCCCTTGCATCCTTTTGTCAAAAGTTCTAGGGGAAGATTTAAAACAAAGTGCCATGCCAAAAACTTAGTAATTTTTATTTTGTTTTTAATGATAGTTAAACCAAGGGTCATTGTCAGGGTTCTGAAGCAAATGATGTTTGGGAAATTAGCATTTAGTATAGAGTTAATTTAGAATCCACCTTTGTTCTGGAAAGAAAAACACCAAAAAACTATCATAATCAGGAAAACTGTTGGCATTGTTTCCCTTAAAGGCAAAAAGCATTGTTTTAAAATAATGGTTAAAAGATATAGTAGGTGAAAATTTGACTAAAAGAAGTTCTTAGAGTTTTGGTAAAGTAAAATAGAACTGGGAAGTCCTAGATAGACCCCTGTTAGACTAGTTTTGAATCATTTTCCTGCCCCATCCCAAATGCCTTCATTTCAGAATTGCTTACCCCAAATCAAGGGAAGTATGGTTATGATAATGGTTATCATTCAAGAATTTTCTCCTCTAACCAAAGGTCTTGCCTTTTACCTTGCCAAGTTTCTTGATGAATTTTATCTTCATTCCTTTGACAAGCACTTTGTATATAAAAACAATTCTCATGTGACCCAACTTCTGAAACATCTGAATTACTAATGAGCTAATAAGTCTGATTTCATGCTATATTTTTCTCTGGTAGGCTTATGTCACACAGCCTTAGTAGAGTTCTCAAGCGTCCTCATTTCTTTGACGTAAGTGTACAGAAGTCCATGCATATTCCTCTTGCCAGTGGCTCTTAATTCTGAATTTTGTTGAAGGATGGTCATGAAAGCTAGACTAAAATAATTGATAATACAGAGTAAAAGATGATTTGCTCAGTAATTTCTGTCCACAGGGGAGTGGGTTCACAGTGGGGCTAATCTGAAGGAAGCGTATGCAGGTGAGAGTAGGAGGGTGGTGTTCAGCTAGAAGTGTATCACAGGCAAGGGGCCAAGTTAAAGAGGGGAACAGTGGATGAAATCCCCCAACCAAGGGAGGAAACTCTGTGGTGAGAGAGACTGAATGGAAAATATTGAACATTTTAATAAAATGTACACAATTTGAATTTGATTTTAAAATGCAGATAGAAAAATGAAAATACTGTGACAGACCCCTAGTTGGTGCTAATGCGATTTCACCAATTGTTGGGGGTTTAGACAAAATATCAAAGTGATTAAGTAGCACCTGACATCTGAGCAGCGTATTGAGTCGTTACCCTTAAATTTTAGAGGTAGAAAGGATGTTAGTGATGATTTACTCATAATCCATAATTTTGCAAAAGAGGAAAGTGAAGCCTGGAAATACTAATTATTTCTCACAACAGGGAGAGCTTCTTAACTCTAATGATGGTTCTTCTTACTCTATTTTGGGAAGTTTCCTACCCTTAATGGCTCCTTTCATTTTCTGGAATTATACCTGAAGGAGGAACCAAGTAACAGAAGCAGCATACTAGCCAATAAAATATAGACCTTGGGCTGTCCTTGTGAATCCTATTACAGTGAAAAAAATTAGCATATTAGAGAAATTTACAGTAGGTGGGCTAATGTCTATTTTAATTTCCTTCTCTTCACATAGGTATGATTTATAACCAATGCACTTTTAGTATTACTGTACTCTAGAAATGCAAAAGTTTATTTTTTTCCTGGTACATATTAGACCAGTAATTCTTAACTTCAGGGTCCTGAGATGATCATTTAAGTGATGTGTTTCAGGTAACTTCTGAAGAATGCTTATAGAATGGTTTAGTCCTAAATTTTATATAAATGTATGTATAATGGTTACAGTTATCCCTAGTATAACTGTCACTAGCGTAGCATTAAGATATTCTCTCTTCAGAGGGAGGAAGGAATGATAGAACATGATTACTTGGAGCAAGTTAACACCTAAATTTTAGTTGAAGGTGAGTCACCTTTTTTAATCCTCCATTAATTATAATGGCAATTACATATTATTTTAGTACTTTGTTTTTCCTCTCCCCCAGATTATTGGGGTATAATCAGAATTTGGTTATGATCATGGGAGTCATGAACATCACACTTTGTGAATCAAGGAAGAAAATAGATGCAAATTGTTGTATTGGATTTGTTACATAAAGATGAAAGTTTAGTAAAGAATTGCCCTGCCAGATGTCCTTTCAGTCAGTTCACACAGTTGGTGGAACCAGTAGTCTGTACCTTATACACAATTTTTCTGTATTAATACTTGAACTTTAAAATCTTGGAAAGGGCTCTGTCTTGCATAGGTAAATGTAGCATTCTTTGTTTTTTATTGTAACGAATTGCTTCTCTACATCATTTAATTTGCAATTTCTTGTACCTAGTGACAACACGGGTCTGGAGAAAACCACGAAAGGACAAAAAAAGAGAGGAAGAATAGCAGTAGTAGCCCTGGAGGTGTGGGAGGGGTGGTGGGTGGAGGGTAGAAGAACACAACACGGGGAAAACTGGGGAGAGAAATGTAGGGAGAAGGGACTGAAATGAAAAGCCGCTTGTGGGAAAGGCAGGGAGAGGAGTGGGAAGTCCCAGAAGCATATTGAGGAAGAAGGCAACCCGACCACGTACTTTCCACCAGGAGAAGTGCTTCCTTTGATCTGTTTTTAGGTGACTTAGCTGGCTCAGCAAAATCTTCGCTTCCAAAGATTCAGTTTTTAAAAATTGTTTAGAAAGTATTACCTTTCTATAACCTAAAAATAGGATTTTTAAAAAAGACTAAAGTGTAAAAAATTGGTGTGATTTTTCTCTTTTGTGCCTTTGTTCTTTTAGTTGAAGGAGGCTCATGCCAGCAGAGACAGAGTCATAAAAAATTGTATAGCTCAGACCTCATCAGTAGTAAAACACCTCCGAGAAGAGAGAGAAAAGAATTTGGATGATTTAACGTTATTAAAGCAACTTAGGAAAGAACAGACAAAGGTAAGTTGAACAAGATTTACATTTCTGAACCAAAGATTTCCAAATTTAATAAAGGCAGGGTTGATTTGTTTTTTTTTTTTAAGATTCTATAAAGACAGTTTTTTTTTTTTAAATTAATTTATTTTTAAAGATTTTATTTATTTATTCATGAGAGACAGAGAGAGACAGAGACAGGCAGAGGGAGAAGCAGGCTCCCAAGGAGCAGGAAGCCCAATGCGGAACTCGATCCCAGGACCCTGGGATCATGACCTGAGCCGAAGGCAGACGCTTAACTATCTGAGCCACCCAGGCGCCCTAAAGGCAGTTTTTAATATGAAAATTTTAGAGTCAGAAATGGTCATTACTTTAAAAAAAAATGACCAGGAGAGTAATACTTCATTTTTAGTGGGCTTTATTGTATTACATTTAGATATTAGTTGGTAAGTTAATGTGCATTTCATGCATATATGCAGTGTAGCAGCTTTAACTTAAAGAAGCATGTAGTCATATTTTCTTTCCATGTATTTATATGTTATACTAGTAAAGATAAAAGGATTAGTATAGACCTAACACTACATCAGAAAATCTAGGGAATCATGTCTGTATCAATGTTTAAAGGCTTGACTTGAGAATAAACTTTTTCAAATATATTTACATTTTGAGAATAGTTACCTCTGGTTTCATCTGTAGAAATTTGCTGAAATGCAGTACAGATAATTCAGAATATTACCCTCTTCAGCCATAAAAATATAGTACTATTTGAATATAACCACATACACTAGAACCTCATTATAATTTATTTCTCTACTGCAGAGAAGTTGCTATGGGTCTTTGGCTTTTTTTGGACACTTTTTTGTTTCCACTTCATCTCCCATCCCTGCAGTTTTCACTTTTAAGAAAACAGTAAATGTCCACTGAGTGCTATGTCAGAGGAAGCCTTATTTTCCCAGTCAGCTAATGTAGATAGGGTGTGGACCTCAGAGTATGATAAATGGAACAGAACTGTTTCTTTATAGCCCATTAATCACCATGTCAAGAAAACAGTTGAAATGTGTATGGTATTTTATTATGTGGAATGCATTGCTGTCTTCCCTTTGGGGGTGGTGCTTAAAGAGTAACTTTTTATTTTGGTATAATTTCAAACTTACAGAAAAGTTGCAAGAATAGTACAGGGAACTCACGTTTACCCTTTACCTATATTCACCCATCGTTTACATTTTCCCCCACCTGCTTTGCAATACATTCTCTCCACTCCTCCTTCTCCCTCCTCCTTCCCACCTTTCCCTGTTTTCCTCCCCTTCCTACCACATGTAGGCATTTTTTTTTCCTGAACCATTTGGCAAGAATGGTGGGTACATGGTTCCTTTGCCCCTTACATATGTTGGTCATTACCTAAGAAGAGGGGCTTTTTCCTACATGACCACTGAGCAATTATCAAAATCATGTCTGTGTTTTAAGATGGCACAATAGGTGACTTACTGGTCCTTGCATGTCAGGTGACTGAAAATCCAGTATGGGATGGAATTTTGTTTTTCATTACTAAACAGTCATGAAGTCTGCCCTTTGTTTAGTAGATGTAGCCAAACTTTGAAAAGGGGACCTTATCATCTCTCAAACCTTTATTCCTGTAACTGCCCACAGGTGAGTATGCGCACTTGCTCAGTCATCCCACTGATGCAGCTTGTCTTGCTGGGTGTGAGATTCATCCCCTATCTTCACTGCTCTCTTAGTTCACGATGACTGTTTCAGTCCTGTGTTCCATACCTGCCCATTCATCAGGCAGTGGTGGGTTCCTCAGCCAGTGATCTTATGCTGTAATGGTCATCTTACTTAGTGTTTATTAAGTCTTGTAGATAATTTATATAAAGCAGGTTAAAATCTAATTATTTTTGGATTTTTTATTTTAACAGACTTTTGAAGGTATTGACAAAGGAAACAGTGGGGCAGGGCTGTTGTATCTGAAACCTGAAACTCACTTTTTGGATGTTAAGTCAAACAAAGACTAGAATGACTCTTGTTAGTGGAGAGCAAAGTTCAGAAACCACTGAGTACTTGGGAGTGACCTATCACATAATTTGGTCCGCCCTCATTTCTGCCCTTAAGCCTTTAGGGCCCAGAGAGAATCGCCAGGATGACTATTGCAAGGAGTAGTTTTAGAAACCAGTTAGCAGGTTATAAAAGGTAGCTTTCTAGATTGATACTGTATAGAACTAGAGGGTGACCATGAGTAGTACTTAACCAAGTAAGGAAGCTTGAATTTTTTTTAATTTTCAAGTTTGTCATGAAGATTATGGAATCAGAAAGAGAACTCTTTGAGATGATCCAGCTCTACCTCTTCCTTTTCTGAATGAGGAAACTGAGATCAGAGATACTAACTGACATCCCCAAAGTCACAAGCTAGTAAGTGGTAGAGCTGGAACTTTAACCTATCTCTTCTGACTCTGGATTCAGTGTTTGTACATTAAATGGTGACTGATAGTCAAATTCTCATTACTTAAGTGAACATATTTTATTTATATGCAGAAACGCCAGTCTAAAAGTCCCAGTTCTTTCCCTGAGTCCTTAACGCAGAAAAAGCACATTCCTTGCTGGAACTATATAACCGTTGTCACCTATTAGTGGCCTTTGAAAGGAAGTTTACCAGTTTAAGACCTAGAGCCTCAAAAACAACCATCTCAGAGGTAGCATTTTGTTGGTGGCACTGAAATTGTATTAGAAGTTGGTTGTAATATCTGCAGCATTCAAGAATAGAGAAAACGTGGATTATAAAGGCAGATAGCTCTAGGGAAATAAATCCCATCCACCACATGGTGGGTTTGTAAACTTATAAATTAATTGCCCTGAAATAATCGGATTTTTAGTTTGTAAAATGGAGTCAAGACTTCTTACACTTTCAATTTTAGGGATTAGGATTAAATTATATAATGTGTGTAAGAGCTCGCATATCCCTGATACACTTAGTAGTTGCTTTCCTTTCCTTTTTGAGTCTTTGGGACTCCGTGTTTGTTACATTAATCCTCCTTACGTATCTCCCAACCAGTGGTTTCTACCTTTGTTTAACCACTACTTAAGGGAGCAGGGGAGGAGGAGTACTTGAATCTTCTGTAACCGTGCATTTTCTTTTTGGATGGTTATAATCATTCAGAGATTTTCTTATATGTTGTGAAAATCTGCCTCCCTGTAACATATGATTACTGCTCCATAATCTTCCCTCTGCAGGTATATAGGATAAGTCTAAACCCATTTCTGCATGACCTCCCTTTAAATATTTGAGAGCAGTTATGAAGACTGTCCTAGTGACATGTTGTAACCCTGTTTTGTTCTTTTTTTAAGATTTATTTATTTGAGAGAAAGAGCATGAGCAGGAGGGGCAGAGAGAGAGGGAAAGAGAATCCCAAGCAGACTCTGTGCTGAGTGCAGAGCCCAATGCGGGGCTCGATCTCATGCCCCTGACTTCATGACCTGAGCCGAAACCAAGAGTTGGAGGAGGCTTAACCAGCTATGCCACCCAGGCATCCCATGACCCAGTTTTTTGACTGAGCTTGTTAATTTTTTGGCATTCAGTCCAGGCTTTGACAGATCAGTGAAGTTTTCATGATTTCTGGTCCATGTAGCTGATTATAATCTGAAACTGAGGTTGCTTTCATGTAAGCAGATGGGCTTCTTCAGGCTTGTTACTACTTTTAGCACAATACTGGTTGTCAGAAATGCAGTCCTTCGTCTTGTTCTAGTTTGAGTCCTTTGTACCTGTGTATACTCTGACACTATTTTTGAGTCTAGCAAGGGAGTTTACAAGGGGCCAGTGGAGTTTACAAGGGGCCAGTGGATCAGTACTAAGTTCCTGTCTTATTAGTGTTACATGTGCATTGTTTAAATGTCCTGCCTGAGCTGTGCTCCTGACTAATCAGGTTCTTTGGTCTGGGTCCCTGACTCATGGTTGCCTAGACCTTGTCTAGCTTATGGCATTTTGTTCCCAAGTCTCCTGGCCTGAGTCTTGACTTTGGCCTAAGGAAATCATCCTAATTTTAACCTCTTGGCTGCTTTGACCTGTAGCTCATGCTTTTTTCTCCTAATTTTCCTGAATATTTTCAAGCCTCCTTCCTGGAACTAGCTAGTTTCTTTTCTTTTAAGTTTCTATGACTAGGAGTATGATGGGCCCTGCCATGTGGGCCTGGCAGTGGAATTGGTTACTTTTCTGATGGTGTAACTAGGTTGGCAGTTATCAAGAAAGTTAGAAAGGCTTTAGCATCTTTAACCTCAGACCTCTGGCTATGTGCTCAAGGTGAAAGATCATGCCTTTCTAGATCTTCTGGGCCTTATGTATTCCCTTTCTCTTTTCTGTTTTTCTTCCTGATTCTTTTTTCTTCATCCAAATTAGATTGCCACCTCCTTCTCCTTTTTATTCGTCTGTGCTGTCTTTGCAAGTCACTATTATAGGATCAGTAACTACAACTAGAATTCTTGAGTTCAATGACATGTGAATATATGTTTTTATAAATCTTACCAAATTGCCCTCCGTACTAAAAATGTGTATGAGTGTATATTTTTTCATATCCTTACTAGTAGTAGATTTTATCAGACGTACCCATTTTTTAAAATTTTTGCCATATTATGGCTTAGTTTGCATTTCTTTAAACATTAGTAAGATTGTACATTTAAAAAATACATTTATTGGCCATTTGTATTCCTTTTGTGAACTACCTGGACATTTTTTTTTTTTAAGAACTCTCAAGGTGATTATAATATGCTTGAGAACCATGGCTTTAGAAGATTTAACAGCTGATTAGATATGGGGAGAATGGGCTGTGTCCAAGATCTAGCCCAGGTGGTATCATTAACAAAGAATGTTGCAGCAGGAGCTCCTTTTATTAGGAAACTATAAATAGAATTTAGTTTTAGTTCTTTAATTTGAATTTTCATAACTCTGACTTTTTTTTTTCCTTTTTGCAGTTGAAATGGATGCAGTCAGAACTGAATGTTGAAGAAGTTGTAAATGACAGGAGCTGGAAGGTATAAAATAATGCTGGTTCTTGGAGAGAACTATGAAGGAAACTGAACTAGCAAAGGGAAACCAAGGGAGGGGGAGTAAGGAGTGCCTTGGGCCTTTTTAGACATCTTTCATTTATAAGCAACTGAAGGTTTTAACTTTGAGAAAGGGTGCAGTTGGCATCCAAATAGAGCCAGCTTATAAAAATCAGCTTTACAGTCATATGGTAGATTGTATGACCTGTCATGGTAACAGAACTGGAGACATTCTGTATGTTTCTTAATACTAATTATGGACATACTTGTTATTTAGGGTTATTACTAATTAACTTAGAACCTTCAGTGGTGTTATTTGTTAAAATTAGCCCTTTTGAGCCCTATTACTTTGCATAAATTTTCATATCATTAGCTACCCTTTGCAGTTGCTTGCTTTCTAACATATTGATCATGGAACTTATTCGTACATAACTTTTCTGATATCTGATAACAGGGCCTTTTATGGCTCCCTGGTTCACATGTTCCTTATTACCACCTGTGTAGTTTTGAATAGGAATTAGATTGGGGGACCAGGATTCCAGAACTTTACCTGTAGTCAAAAATCATAAAATGCTGACTTTAGTTGTATGAAATGGTATAGCTCTATACCCTTCTAAAAATTCAAAGATTTCTGAAGGGAAATAATCTGTTAAATCTGAAGGAATGAACTGAAAATTCTGTTTCATCCTTTGAAATTGACCAATGGAATGAGGTTAAACACAGAGAGAGGTTAACTGAACAGAAACTAGAATGTCCCAACTTGCAGAGCTATGAATAAATTGCAAAGTACAAATTGATTTTCTTTGCCGTATTATCACTTTTCTTTATTCTGTCCGCTTTGCCAGGGTTTCCTATTCCTGCCTTTTCTACCAATGTGAGAAGGTGTTTGCTACTTGAAAGATTCTGGTGTTACTTGTTCATTTATGTTCTCCAGAGAGATAATATTTACTGTTGGGATGGCATAGGGGAGGGGTACAATGAATATCTGGTTTGAAAAACCCAGTGGAGAGGTTGATATATGTCAAATGTAGTGGGATAAGGGAAACATTTTTATTTTTTAATTATTATTATTTTTAAAAATTATTTTTAAGTAGGCTCCGTGCCTGGTATGAAGCCCAAAGTGGGGCTTGAACTCACAACCCTGAGATCAAGACCTGAGCTGAAATCAAGAGTCGGTCACTTAACCAACTGGCACCCCAAGTGAAACATTTTTATTTTTTTATTTATTTTATTTTAAAGATTTTATTTATTTATTTGACAGAGAGAGACACAGTGAGAGAGGCAACATAAGCAAGGGGAGTGGGAAAGGGAGAAGCAGGTTTCCCGCTGAGCAGGGAGCGCAATGTGGGGCTCCATCCCAGGACCCTGGGATCATAACCCGAGCCAAAGGCAGATGCTTACAACTGGCCACCCAGGCGCCCCTCAAGTGAAGCATTTTTAGATTTGATTCTAATTTTAAAGAAAATATGCTCCATCCAGTCTACAAAAACTTAGGTTCCCTACTTGATTTAAAAAAAAGAAAATGTAGCTATGGTGCAATAGGTCAGCAAAAGTGGTTAGGAAGGCATTTAGGAAAAGGATTTGGAGAAGTTTGGCCAAGTCATATATATCATCCCACCCAGGGAGCCAAGGCCACTAATCTGAAGCCTCTGATTTGAGCATTGGGAACTTAAGGGAAATGTCAGGGCTGGCAACTGACAAGAAATGAGCTGTAAGATAAAAGGGCCAGAAAGAGTCTATATAATTTCTACATTTTTTCTTCTAATTGTGAGAGAACACATATCAAAGAGTATGTAACATAGCATTTAAGGAATATTAATAAAATGAACATTCATGTATCTACCACCCAGCTTAAGAGATTGAATAATACCAGTACCATAAAAGCTCCCTACGTAGATTTTTTCTTTTATTTTTTTATGATAGTCCACAGTGTCCAATATAGGTTTTTTGTGTGTTTTGTTTCTTAACCTTAAAAATAATTTGTTCCTTATGTCAATGAAGTATGAGGGTAAATTCTAAGAAGAAATTCTTAGATTTGTATAATTTTTTATTTGGACACTTAAAATTTTTAGGCACGATTAAATTTTTTTTTAAATATTAAATGAAATATGGTAAAAATTCTTCTCATTCCTCCCTTTCAGCCACCTCCTTTCCTTTCCTTCTGAAAAAATGATACATGCTTTAGGTATTTGCACCTTTTCTAATTTTATGTATGTCTGTTTCCCATTTGTCACATCTATGAAAGTGCACTGTCCACACTTTTTTTTCTTTACTATATCTTGGAGATCTTTTCACATCAGAACACACAGAGCTTCGTTATTCTTTTATGTTTGCATTATAGTCCATTGAATGGCTATACCAAAATTTTTATTTAACACAGTCCCATATTGACAGACACTGAAAAATGTTCTTTTAACATTTATGATATGTTACTTGTTTAGATTTTTAGGAAGCAAGGTAAATAGAACAAAACATTTTATAAATTTACACGATTTAGCAAAGGCCTGATCTCTCTTCAAGTTTACCTACTTGTGAAAAAGATCCAATACTCATTTAGAAAATCACAACAGATATCTAAATAAAATCTACATTATAAAAAGAGGGAGGGTGCCTGGGTGGCTCAGTTGGTTGGGCAACTGCCTTCGTCTCAGGTCATGATCCTGGAATCCCAGGATCGAGTCCCGCATTGGGCTCCCTGCTCAGCAGGGAGTCTGCTTCTCCCTCTGACCCTCCCCCCTCTCATGCTCTCTCTATCTCATTCTCTCTCTCAAATAAAAAAAACTAAAAAAAAAAAAAAGAGGGAAAAAGCTTTATCTTAAATCATTTTAGATATTTTTGTCTAACTGTCCAGATAATGAAAATGTTTGTTAGTTACTATTACTAAAGAAGCTAGCTTGTGATAATTTTTTCCTTGAATAATATAAATTTTATTAAAAAATCAAAATTGGCGGGGCGCCTGGGTGGCTCAGTTGGTTAAGCAACTGCCTTCGGCTCGGGTCATGATCCTGGAGTCCCGGGATCGAGTCCCGCATCGGGTTCCCCGCTCAGCGGGGAGTCTGCTTCTCCCTCTGACCCTCTTCCCTCTTGTGCTCTCTGTCTCTCATTCTCTCTCTCTCAAATAAATAAAATCTTAAAAAAAAAAAATCAAAATTGGCTTATAAATGGATATCAAAGTCTTCTGTATTCTTAGCGCCTATAAGTCACTTTGAACTCATGAGGAAAATTTTCTGTTCCCTAAATCTGTTGACCTGGGATAAAAATGGTTATATCCTCCTGAACCATGCCAAATTTAATTTAGTTCCAGGCTTGATTTATACAAGATGACTCAACGACTTTTGTTTCTGTTTAAATATCTTAGGTGTTTAATGAACGCTGCCGAATTCACTTCAAGCCTCCAAAGAATGAATAAAAAGATACTTTTTTTTTTTTAAAAGGACCGGGACATCTCATAAGAGCTAAGCATGACAGACATCAACAAGGTGGGCTTCCTAGGATGATTTCTGAGCCAACAGTCCAAGACCTTTTGTTGATTTCGGCCCCACTTAGCCAAGACCTTAAGTACAAATAATTCTCATAATTATGGAGAAATCAATTGCTATTTTATACTGATTCTGTAAAAAAAAAAAAAAAAGAAGTTTTTGTAACTATTAAAATAATTTTCTGACTCAGTGTACATATTTATTTGATTGTTTTCCAGGTTGAGATAATAAGTTCTTACAAGAGAATTTGAATACAGTTTCAGTATCTGATTTGATTTGTATTACATCTTATTTTTGATTTTTTACAAATTTATTGGCAAGAACATGGACCTTTTTAGGTCATTGATGATTTTATCCTTTCTTTATGGGGTTTATTGCTCCTAACAAGTAAGATGGCAATAATTATAAGCTGCATACTATCCAAAGAAACTTTCTCCTTGGTACCTTAACTTATCTTGTTTTCATATGCAAAAACTAATTTTGGGTGGAATTTTCCTGGACAGTATTTCCATGGGGAATGAAAAGGAAAACAGTAAAATAAATTTGGGAAAGGCAGAGGAAGGCTTGCATGATAGTATTCAAATGAGTCAGTAAAAAACATATCATTGTAGAATTCGGTCATTGCAGAGAAAGCACTTTCTAGTATAGGATGATCATAATTAGTTTTCTGTTGCTGATTAACAAATTACCACAGTTTAGCAGCTTAAAATCATACCTGTTTATTGTTTTACAGTTCTGTAGGTCAGAAGTCCAAGACTGGGTTCTCTGCTTGGGGTGTCATAAGCTGAAATCAAGTCAGCCCGGCTGAGCTCTTGTCTGGCGCCTCTATAGAAAGAATGTGCTTCTCGGTTCATTCAGTTTGTTAGCCGAATTCAGATCCTTGTGGTTATAGGACTCATGTGCCCATTCCCTTGCTGTTATCAGAGGCCACTCTAAACTAGAAGCTACCCACATTTTTTGGCGCATGGCCCCCTCCTTCTAGCTAGCAACGGTGTATTGAATTCTTCTCATTCTTGGTATCTGACTTCCTTTTCTGCTATAAACCAGACAGATTCTGCTTTCAAAGGGTCTTTGTGATCAGATTAGGCCTATCATGACAGTCTTCCTTTTGATTAACTCAGAGTCAAATGATTATAGCCTTAATCTCCAAATCCCCTTTGCCAGGTAAGGTAACATCACAGATGTAATGTCTCCTCTTCACAGTCTAAGGGATTAGAGTAGGACGTCTTGGAGAGCCATTTTAGGATTCTGCCTACCATGATGATTTAAACAAGCCACCTGGCTCTGGCACAGTTAGATTGACCAACTGGGTCGTTGGTAGGCCTATGTTTCAGTATGTGTACCCTCATCATATTATGCATTTAGAAGTGAGCAATAAAAGTATAAAATGTGCACTGTTCTTTCAACAGATCTTTTGAGTACTTACTGTCGGTCAGATACTGTCTTAGTTGTTGGGGATAGTGATAGATAAAACCTACTTTTGTGGAGATTATAATCTAGTCTTCTTAAAAAGGAAAAATCTCTTAGGGCCAGCAGTAAAAAAGATTTTCTATAGGACTTAAAGTGAATGGTGCCTGACAGAAAGTTGATACTTTTTTTTTCTTGCATGTGTCTTTTCAATTGAAAGGACTCAACAAAAAGTAAGACTCAATATAAGATCTTCCTGATGCTCAGGAGGGAATTGAGAAACAGTCCTTGGAAAGGATTCATAACAGCTTTTCCAGAATTTCAGGTCTGCTAAAATACTATCTAGCTAAGCCAATTACGTTAGTAGGATGCCTGAATCATCCCAATGTAACATGAAAAGTGTGCGATTGTGGCAATCAGTGACTTTTAGTATAATGAATATTAGTATGTTTAGTTTGTGATGAATGACACTTAAACCCTCAAATATGAAGAGAAAGGGATGGCATACTATTCTTGAAAGTTGATTTGCCTCTTGAAACAGTGTCTTGAATATAGTTGCTGCCTTAAACAATAATTGTAGATTTTGTTGGCTTGAAGGATAGGTAGGATTTAGTCAGAAAGAGAGGGAGAAGAAGCTGAATGCAAAAGTTCAAAGGTGAGTTTGGCTCTTCCTTGGCAGGATGGAAGATAGCCATAGAAGAAACACCAATGCTTAAGTGTTTGAGTGTCTCCCATATTCCGGGCACTATTAGCCAATACTATACATCACTGAACAAAACAGATAAAAAATACCTGCTCTTAAAGAACTTCCATGGGACACCTGGCTGGCTCAGTCGTTAAGTGTCTGCCTTCGGCTCAGGTCATGATCCCGGGGTCCTGGGATCGAGTCCCACATCGGGCTCCTTGCTCAGTGAGGAGCCTGCTTCTCCCTCTCCCTCTACTGCTCCCCCTGCTTGTGCTCTCTCTCTCTCTGACAAATAAATAAATAAAAATCTTAAAAAAAAAAAAGAAAAATAAAAAAAAAGAACTTCCATGTGGTGAAGAGAGATAGACAGTAGTAAGGAAGTAAAGCATATAAGCATATAGTATGCTGAAAGGTGATAAAGCTACATGCCAAAAAAAGAATCTGGAATGGGGAGTGGAGAGTGGGTGGCAAATGACTGATTTCAGCTGATTAGAGAATATTATAATTCCCTTGTCTTTGAAAAGCCGATTTAAATAGAGACAAATAATACCAAATAAATGCAGTAATAAAAAGGAAGTTTTCTAGTAAGTTATCCTCTCTCTCTCTCTCTCTCTTTTTTTTTAAGTAATCTCTATACCCAACGTGGGGCTCAAACTTAAAACCCCAAGATCAAGAGCCGCATGCTCTACCAACTGACGCAGCCAGCTACTCTGGTCATTCTCTTTTTCAAGTTTTGCTTCAAAGATAGCCAGTTTAGGAAATGGCGCGATAATGTACCCAGTGCCATACGGTAGTCTGTGCTGTGCCCTGCTACCTATTTAAGACCGTCCAGGGATAACTTGTAACCTGGGAGATTAGTCCAACATGTGGTCTCACAGCAAATCAAGAAAAATGAGTATTCTGCCTGGAGTTATGTGAGCTAATCAAATGTTAGAGATCTCTTAGGTTCCTCATGATATCTGTGTGTACTTAGTCTAATAGTTAAGCCTTGATTGTTCGTTAAAAAAAACCAAAAAACACTTCTTATATGGTTGAGCATGAATGTTGAAGAATAAAGAAAATAGTCAAAAAGTGATTCTTCCTGATAGGGGCAGTGTTTCTAGGAGAAGCCTAATTTACCCCACAGCATTATTTTGGAGAGGAAACACAAAATGCTAATGAGGTTTAAGCAAAGATAACTCCCAGCTTCTGAATGCAGTGGCCTGCTGAGGGTAATCCCTGTAAGAGGGAAGAGGACTTAGCCTACGTGAATTTGTGGATCTCCGGATGCATTAAGAAAGGACAGCAAATCCACTGGCACTTAAAGATAGTTGCTGTAGATAGAACGGTTTTTCCACTCTAATTTTAAAAGCTAGCAGGCAAAATTTGACTCCGTGGGTTCTCCCCAAGGATAAGTACCAAGTTCTTAAAATGGCTTTTGAAGTCCTTTGTGTTCTGGCTCCTGTTTGCCTCCAACCTCATCACTCTCTACTCTTTTCCCTACTAGTAGGAAACTACTTCTGTTTCCAGACAAGACCTAGTGTTACCTCTGAACTTCAGCACATGCACTCTTCCCTGGCCAACCTACCCATGCTTCATGTCTCAGCAATCACTTCTTTCAGCAAGCCTTTTCCTGACTTCTCAGATATAAATTAGATGTCCTTTTTATGTGCCCGCATGATAAACACCTCTTTCATGGTCTTTATCATGCTGTTCAATTGCTGGTTTACCTCTATCCCACCAGGTTTTGAGGGCTGGCACTGTGGAGTACTCAGTGCTTGGGATAGTTAAGCCTGACACTGCTAGTTTTCTACCTTACATCCATTTTCCTCTTCCTGATCAAGAGAATCCTGACTTTGTCTATAGTAGCAGTGTGCCCAGCTTCCCTTGCAGCCCCAGATAGCAGGGAGGTAGTTTTTGACAATGAGATATAAGCAGGAGACTGTTGGGGCATTTGGGGGAAACTTTCCTGATACAGGCATTGTCCTTTCCTCCCCCTTTCTCCCTGGAGTATGATTAGGGTCACTAGGAACAAGAAGGATGAGGACTGTTTGCTCACTGTGGTGATGAACACGAAGATAAAAACCCTATGTTGAGGGCTGAACAGAAAGACAGAAGGAGACTGGATCCTTGATGGCGTTGTGGTTTGCCATCCCAGCCCTGGGCTATCTGTGTCTCCAAACTTCTTATTAAGTGAGGGCAGGGATTTTTAATTTATTCATTGAGAGATATAATAGGAGTGGTTCACTTATTTGGTTAAGCCTCTATGTTTAGGATTCTGTTACATGGAGCCAAATGATATGTTCAATGAACGAACAGTATACTACTACTAATAGCTCATTTGTTCATTGCTTACTACAAATTAGGTACTATTCTAAGTATTTTACATGAGTGCCATATTTAGGAGACAAAATTTGGGAAATTCTAATAAGCAAAGGCTAGAGAAGACCAGGCCCTACACCAGACCAGAAGTGTATGAAGGAATTTGGGGGAAATTCATCTTCTTTCTCTAAGAATGACTTGACATTAAGAGCTAGTCCAACTAGGATCTGTTCATTACTTGGCCTCGAAGGATTTGGGTTGGATCTCATTCATATATTGCAACAAACCAATGCAGAGGGTTTTTTGTTTTTGCGGGTTTTTTTTTGCTCAGTTGTGAAATCTACATTAAATCTCCCTCTCCCCCCTAATCAATCATGCCTTACTTCTCTAAGGACACAATATTCCTGTCTGTCCATCCATCCATCCATCCATATGTTTGTCATATGGATCATATACCAGCCATGCCACAACCCTTTCTAAGAAAGACTCTTTGGCCCATATCTCCTACTGAAATAGCACCCCTTGGTAGCCCATTTTGCACTATGCATAACCAGGGCTGGGCAACTGCCCAAGAACTGCTAACTTTAAGTTGGCCAGTGTCTTACGACATGTCGTGGGGCAAGAAGATGATCTGGATAATCAAATTCTTCAAGGCTTTGAACTGAGAAATACTGAGGAAATGATGTAGTTAGCAGTGAAAGGTGAAGCTTGAAGGAAGTGGTGATGAGGTACAATAGGGGCCACGAGGGTCCAGTGTTCTGAGAAAGCAGGACCCGTGAGGATGCACACCATGAAGCAGGGAA